CTCTTGTTGGAAGCCCCCAGTGGGAATGTTCACTGTTTGAAGAGTTAACTCTTTAATTCTGTCTGGAATGTTTCCTCTGGGTGGGGCAGTGCAGTGTGCTGAGCCAGACCACTAACCACTCTACCACTTCTACTGACGCCCCCCGCCACCCCCCCCCCCCTTCATCTTCCTACTAAATTCAATACCTCTATTTCTGGGAGGGGGGCGTGGAGCCACACTTAGCTGTTAAGAGGTCAGCACAAATTGAAGCAGTTTTATGGAAGCACATTTTTTTAAAACATACAAATTACATGTAATTTTGTTGAAAAAAGACACATCAATTGCTATTTTTATCACAAAGTGTATAAAAAGTGTTGTACTGCGAGGTAAATAAGTACAAATTCTAAAGCTGACAATGTTTTGCTTCAGAACAAGGCCGATGGGAAAGACGTGAACATCAATCGAGTATAAGGAAAGACTGAAAATAGACAATATATCTTTTTATTTGAGTTAATGTGATTTAATAAAGATTCTGAGATGTTGCCAAAATGTAACTAGTGCAGGGTGAACCAAAAAGAAAAATGTGTSTTTAATTGATTGGAGACAATTTTGTGAATCTTTTAATTTTCTTATAAGTTTCATACAAGACTACAGAATACAAAAAAGAAAGCTGTCAAATGTTCAGTGTTGCCTGTASGACAAGTCTACTTGAATCTGAAAGTGCAAAACCCTATTTGCATCACCCTTATTTGTTTCAATTTCTACACAAACTTACCAGCATTAACACGACCAGCACTAAGCTACAGTTCATAAATGATAGTTCAATGAAACATGTAAAGAAGCAGAGTTAAAAAACCAAGCCAGTCCTGTTCTACCCAGTCAGCTCCTGCTTTTAATAAAACAAAGAAAACCAACACCTATAGAACCATGAACTATGAACAAACTGACATAATCCCCAAGCAACACAGTAGAAAAACTGTAAGGGCACAGCTCAAATCAGGTGTTTTTTTTTACTTAYGTATGTACACTTAGAAACACAAGTTGTTGAGAATTTGACATCCTAAGAAGAAAGTTTGTGAAAGACCTGCTGACAATTTTCTGTCTAGTTTGTTTCATCCAACACAACCTGCAGCCATCGCCGTTGAGCTCTCATAAGCCTAATTCATAAGACAGCTCGGTCCGGGACTGACGCGTGTTCTGTCCTCCTTGGATCATTCTGAGAATACATGAATGCGAAAAGGCGAGTAAAGTGAGCCCGCCTCTGATGCCCCTCTGAGCCCCCAAGTGAGGTGGTATCAGAGCCGGGCCCAAGCCGGGCAAACCGACTTGTGAAAAAGCAACCCGCGATTATGCATTCAGAAAATGATAATGAGCTGGTGACATCCGTGAGCGACCTCTGGATTAATCAACAAACAGATTTATTACTGAGGGAATAATTAAAGATGACGCAAAATAACAATTTTGTAGTCATTTAAAAAATATTGAACCATAGAATTGTTAAAGTAAGTTTATTTTGTTTGTTTGGTTTGATACGATGCAGCAGACGTCCGTCACACAATAAATACGTCCACTTCAGCCCAGCGGAGATCTGCCCAACGCCTCATTTGATTCCTTGCTTCTGAGTTCATTTCTGAACGCATTCATGCGATTGGGACCTGGCCGGCTTCTGTGATTTTATGAATGACTCGAAGGAGCTTAAAGACGGACTGGTCTGTGTGGCGATTTCGCGGAACTGTCTTGTGAAAGAGGCTATAAAGACAACAAGAATCAAAAGTTAGGTTAAAGATTTCTCAGGTGCTTCACACAAAGTAACTAAAAAAACATTTTCAGCTAATTTTCCAGCAAGTTTATCTACAGATACACTCCAAACAAGTCAGCACCCATTTAAAACCAGTGAGGTAAAATTACAGCTAAATTGCACAAATCTAGCCTAGTCTAAACTTTACTGAAATCACTCTGCATTTTAACAGTATGCAAAGTGTAGGCGCCTCACACTTCCTCTTCACTGACAAAACTACTGTGACAAACCTGAAACCTGGCTCATAGYTTGATTAGAGATATTTTTAGTGCAACTAATGGGATTTTTAAAATGAGATGAAAATTCAAAGTACACCGAGCTCATGTATTCAAGCCAGCAAAGACAGTTTAAATATACATGAACGCTACCTGAGAGTTTATTAGGAAGTTGRATTGTATTTATACAGTTTAAAATGATTTGAGGGAACTTATTACACTCACAATGACAGACAATAGCTTGTGCACCAACTTTTTTACATGAACCCATTGTCCTCCAGTTAGAGTTTTTCAGTTAAGTAAATGCTGTGGATTGCGGCTTTCAATTTCCTGTGTAGTTCAGCAGTTTGAGCTCAGCTAAATATCACAGCCTCACACATTATAGTTGCCCTTTGTTCTGAACAAGCACTGCAACAGGTTTTAATGGACCTCAGCCTTACTCATTATTTCTTTTCTGAATGGCCTCCATTTGCTGGCAATTTGTACAAACAGAGGTCAGACGGTAACTCCAGCCTTATTACATCAGCATAACAGGAAGTCCAGTAAACAGAATAATACTAAGTACACCATTTAAAACCCACTGACAGTAATGGCATGTGAGACAACAACATAACACTAAGAAAGCAAAAACCAGGTCAGGTTGACATATGTATACAACATACACAGCAGGCAGTGGGGCCTCTCGACTCCAGCTGAAACACATGGTGACAAAGTTGTGCACTTCTAACGAATACCTTGGTTTTTCCAAAAGATTCTTCAGTAATGTGTTCATGTAACAGGACAGACATGTATAGTTAAAAACAAACCCCTGCATCAATCTTCATAATTCAACTTAGGGGTGCACGATAGTTATCGRCCYGATAGTTATTGGACCGATATCAGGGAATGATGACATCATACTTATCGGTCCGATTTCATAACAAACAGAACCGATAATATATGTACATGTTTGCCAGCGCTGCTTTATTTTTATCCGTTTTGGTCAAGCCGCTTCCTGTTCAGCACAACCCGAGCAACGTTCAAGTTGCGTCAGAAAAAACAACTTTCTCACCAGAACAATAATTATAATACTCCGTGCTGAAAAACAACCAGTCATTTTAAGAATTATTTATATTATTTTACCAGTTAACCCTGTATGTTACACACAAGCTTTATAATTATAAACATCAGAACAACTACTCCCAATTTGAGAACATGTAAGTCCGTTACCTCCTGAATGCAGCACAAAGTCTGTCTRCTAAAATGCTAACAACAACAAGCTAGCGTTCAAGAACTCATCGGGATTCGGGACTTATACGTATTATTCCTGAGGCTCTTGATAAATCCAATAAAATAGCCAAAGATGACTCAGATCTTAAGCACTTTAGCAATGGAAACGATGGAGCTTGACAAGCAGCCGTTCACCCTCGCTAAAGACCGAAGCTTTTTTCTCCTTGTTGTTAGCCATGGTTTACCATGCTGAACAGCGCTGCCTCTGTGTGTCTTCCT